TAGATACTACCATCTACTTATTGTCTTACCTAGGGATATAGATCAGGCAAGTTCTTTAAGGAGTGGACCATTGGCTCATTACTTGAATGTGGTACAGTCCTTGGTATTTGGTCATTCTTTGACTTTTTTTTGGGGGGGGGTTGAGACAGGGTTTCTCTGTGTAACAGGCCTAGTTGTTCCGGAACTAGCTCTTGTAGACCAGACTGGCCTCTACCTCCCCAGTGCTGGGATTAAAGGCATCCGCTACCCGCCAGACAATTTGTTGACATTTTAGAATATAAAAGAACAGCTGGAAGGTCATCCATCCACTAACTTCACCTCTACCATCTCAGTGACAGGTCATCCAAGTCAAGCACTTAATGCAGACGTCTACTGAGATCTATTTTGGGAGACATGGGAGAAGCCATGCTTTTATAGTCAAGAGCTCTTAGGTAGAGAAGTATATGCCCTTGAGATACGCCTTGAGAGAGGGGATGGCCTAAGTGAGGTATGAAATGTCACCTATCATGAGGGAGACTAATTAATGTGCACCTCATTAAGATGTGTATGCCAGGCTTTTTGAGTTTTGCCCCCAAAGCAGTTAGTTGAACCACTCTTCCTCTAGATGGAGCGTTTTCCATCTGCTGCGCAAAGGCAAGTGAGCTTCCTCGGAAGTCCAGCACATTTCATTTCCTCCTCCAGACTGTGCCCAGATTTTATTATATTTTAACCAGAAATGGGAGGGACTGACGAAAACAGGCACTTAAGAAAGGCTCAGGGTTTACAGCCTACCTTCTTGCCAACTTGCTGTTCATAAACTGAAAAGAAAATCTGTCAGATAGGCTGGAGAAATGGCTCAGCAGTTAAGATCACTGGCTGCTCTTCCAGAGGACCTGTGTTCATCTCAACACCCACATCACTGCTAACAACTGCCTAACCTCCAGTCCCTTAGGATCTGACACCCTCTTCTGACCTGCATGTGCAAGGCACGCATTGTGTACAGGTGTACACACAGAAAAAATACCCCCCCCCACAGATTTTTATTGCCTAGTTTTGAAGTCTCTGATGAAACCTGGCAGTCTACAAAGATGGTAAAATCGATCTCCTATCATCTAATTTAAGCAGTTTCTCATTTACATTCTTATCAACATTCTCTCTTCAGACAGTATCTCATGGTATAACACAGGCTGGAATCACTTTCATGGTCTTCTGCCTCCCAGCTGTAGGGATATAAGCTTATGATAGCATTCTCATTTATCTATGAACTTTTAGCTGGTACCCAATACATATAACTGTTTTTTTTGTTTTTGTTGTTGTTGTTTTGTTTTTTAACAGGGTAGTCTGTAGTCCTGGCTGTCCTGGACCTCTTTACATATACCAGATTGGCTTCAAATCACCTACCTTTGCCTCCCAAGTGCTAGGACCATAGACAAGTACCACATGCCCAGCTCAACATACATAGCTCATAGATGAGAGCCTTGAACAGCTTAGGATGTTCAGGTAAGTGGTTATTACACACATTAGCTGTATAGATATGGATTTAGGCTCACCATGGAGACTATGTAGTAAAAAGTATGTAACACACTCACATATATGTGTGTATAGACAGACATACAGATAAAAACTCATTAGTCGGGGGCAAGAGATGGCTCAGCCACTGGCTGCTCTTCCAAAGGACCAGGGTCCTCGTAGCACCCACATGGCTGCTCACAACTGTTTACAGTTCCAGGGAATCTGATACCTCACAAAACATGAATGAGGGCATGACACCAATGCACATAAAGCTACTTAAAAAAAAAATCGAATTAATGGGGGAAAGACTTGAAATTACTTCCATTAATACTAATACCTGCAACAGTGGGTACCCCTCCCCACCTCTTAAAAATAATCTGTGTTGGGGGCTGGAGAGATGGTTCAGAGGTTAAGAGCATTGCCTGCCCTTCCAAAGGTCCTGAGTTCAATTCCCAGCAACCACATGGGCTCACAACCATCTGTAATGGGGTCTGGTGCCCTCTTCTGGCCTGCAGGCATACAGACAGAATATTATATACATAAAAATAAATATTTAAAAAAAATAATCTGTGCAACTCAGTCTGAGCCTTCCAGGTAATGGTATTTACAGTTCTGTGCTAACAGATCAGGCAAGTAAACTCTTGACCAAAGAGAAACAAAGACATTTCTTTTCTGGGTCTTGGTGTTTTCTAACTTAGCAACAAAAATTTCTCCTGGTTTTCCATCAGAGGACACTAATTAGAAGCAACATAACTGCTTAATAGGTTTTTAAGCCTTTCATTCCCAAGTTAGTCATTTTTCTGTGTGTGTCCTTGACAATGTAGGGTAATGGATCTACTCAGTATAGTAGACAATTTCACTTTCTCAGAACCCTCCAATTTAGGCTGACCTGATACACCTTTGCACACTAAGAAACCACTGAGGTTTACCACCAGCCCTTCTTTTACTTTGAGCAGAAGTTTCTTAAAAACAGGAGGGTCTCATGTAACCCGGGCTGGCCTTAGAACCTCCAAAGTACTGAGATTGTAGATGTGTGCCACTGTACCTGGCCGAGAAAGGGTCTTCCTGCCTCTACTTGAGTAGCTAGCTGGAATTATAGGTGCTTACTACCATGCTCAACGTGTTAAATCCCCTACACACCTGGAAATTCTTTGATGCAGTAGCTCACAGAGTAGACTGTGCACCTTTTATAGCCAAAAAAGTGAAACTCAGATCATGGTGACAGCTGTGAAGTTGTGTGGATCACAGTTCTGACACTCGTCCCTGAGCACTAACGCTAGTGAGTACACGTGGAGGCCAGACGGCTTGACTTCTAGGCTGTTCATCTCTCCATCAAATCATCTTAGACTCGAGTCTAATTTCAAAAAAGGTTACTAACCTCACCCTATTTATTTTCCTAGTTTAAAGTTGTGGTGTTGCCAGCTGTCTGTTCTACCAGTAAACCAATATTCCAAGATTCCTGACAGGGTCCAGAAATCTGGGGGGGAAATGATCATGGAGAATGGCTTAAATGAAGGGCCTTTGTGGAAAGACCCACAGGGATAAAACTGCTGTGGGAGAATGCTCTTGTACACTGTAAAGACTTGTCATATAGGTTTAAGAAAACACTGACTGGCCAGTAACTAAGAAGGAAGTACAAGTGGGGTGACCAGATTAGGAGAATTCTGGGAAGAGGAAAAGCAGAGAGACAAGAGTCACCAGCCAGAGGAAGCAAGATGAGAATATCTGAGAAAAGGTACCAAGCCACGTGGCTAAACATAGGTAAGAAGTTTACTTAAGTTCTAAGACCTAGTTAGTAGTAATAAGCCTGAACTAAGAGGCCAAACAGTTTATAATTAATATAAGCTTCTGTGTGTGTGTGTGTGTGTTTTTTTTGGGGGGGGGGGGAACTGAATAGCTGTAGACCAGGCAGGAGAAATACTTCCAACGACATGAAATAGCAGAAGCACACTGAATACTAATTCCAGATGGAAAGAAAGGAAAAACAAAACCCGGTAATGCCTCAGCCTGCTATCCTTCAAAAGCTCACATTACTGGAGCAGGATGATGAGGATTACACAAGGTGAGCAGGGATTTTTCAAGTAGTATCTACTTCTAGTCCACAGGAAAGGGAAACCTATGTACAGCCCCTCTACTAGGAAACAGCAGCAGACTAAAGTTTCAGTTAGTTATATATGAAGTTGTCCCAGAAAGCTCCACTGCTATCCCATTTTTCTGAGACAGGATTTCTGTGTAGCTTTGAAGCCTATCCTGGAACTTGCTTTGTAGACCATGCTGCCTCGAACTCAGAGATCCACCCGCCTCTGTCTTCTGAGTGCTGGGATTAAAGGAGTGAGCCATCACAAGCAGCTTTGGAAAGAAATTCAAAAATTGCGAGTTCAAGGGCTGGGTATACCACAAACTATGCCTAGGAGCATGGGGCCCTGGGTCCAATCCCTGGAAATGAAAATTAGAAAAAGGACACCCTCAAACATGGCTCTAAAGCCTCCCATAACTCTAAACCCTTACTTGCTTCCACCTCCCCGCGTTGTTTTTCTGTCTAATGCGGAAAGGCCCATAAACCAGAAGGTTGAAGTCACCAGGACTTTAGATATTAACTTCTCCTAAATGGAGAAGGCATTCTTTCTTTTCAGAAATTAATTTAATGTTCTTTGTGTGTATCTCCTCCGCTCAGATTAGGAGTTCTAGAGACCAAACCGTAACCCTCTGCAAAAGCAGCACTTTTAAGATCTGAGCTGCCTTTCCAACCTCGAAATAAGACATTAACTGTTTTGTTTTTCTTTCTGCGCTGTTTTTAACTTTTTGAGGCACTATGGATAAAAACCTATATAGCCTTATCAATTCTTCTCAACAAGCTACCATTAAGGCTTGTACCCAAGTGGGAGACATTCTAGCATGTACAAATCTCTAAGGAAAGGAAGAAAGAATCAAGAGAAATGGAAGAGAAAGAAAGCCAGAGAGGAAGCATACAGCAACTGTAAATGGAGCTTTTTTCCCCCACATTCATGTTTTAGAAAATAAGAGGACAAACCTCTAATATGCTAATTTTTCAAATTATGTTGCCTTGAAAAATTATTTCTCAAACTAATACAGGTTAAAAGGAAATCACTGATAATATAAAATCAACATGACTTTGAATGTCCGAGTGGTAGGGAATGCTTAGAGAGTGGGCTAACTGGAAACCAGAACCCCACACTTACAACTCGAACACCAGCCAAAGCACTCCTAGGCACATGAGTAGCTTTTCTAGTGTTCAAATGTCCACTTTATTCCACACGACACCTAACCAGATTACCACTCACATCTGAGGAGATGACCCATGAGATGACCTGGAGAAATACAGTCCAATTTTACAGTGTCAGGCATCCCACAAGTGTACCACAATGCAGAAATACATGTTTATACTAACTACATTTTACATAAAGAGAAATAGCAATAAACTTCAGAAGGTAGTAAATACATCTGTTCCTTAAAATACGGGTATGCAACTGTTACAAAGCCATAATAAATGGTTTTATAAAATGTAGTTTTATTTTATGTTACTCTGCTGTTACATAGGGCATAACATTTCACAAGGCTTTTTTGGGACTACAGTCAATGATTAGCAAACACAATATTGTGGGTCTGACCCTCTAAGGAACAATCACTGGACAAACTGGACACCCTCTCACACGTGTACAGATCTGCATGGAAAAGTACTGACGTTTAGACTCGGACTTGTGTACTTTATTTCCCCTTTCTAGTGTATTAAGAAAGGACATGCATTTTAATTTGCCCAAAGCAATGCTTGTATTCTGGCAGCAACATGCTACTTCTATTACAAGGTAAAGTGAATACCAGAGCTACGAAGGCAGGAGGTGTAAGTGAATTTTTATTGGGAAGGAAGTTGTCAACTCAAACAGCAGCAAATGAAGAATGCATAAATGAAACTCCCTGTTGTCACAGACGTAACCTCCAGATTATGTGACATAGGAGACATTTCAATCTGTGACCCCCAAGACTGGATGCATTAAGAGCTTTCCCATTCAACCCAACACTTCTGGATTCCTACTAAAAAGGAATATGCAGTAAGAGTATGGAAAAGTCGCTTCTGAAAGGATTTCCCCCAAAGAAGGGTCAGAGAGGGAATGTAGAAATCGGGGAGTTATTATTACAATTACTTTAAATTGTAATGCACTACATTTCCATATCTTCACAGTAATACAAAACACAGCCACTTGCAGAACTGGTTCAGATTACTTAAATACCCAATGTACTGTCAGTCCTCTACACATGTGTCTGGAGTTACTCGCGTTTATATGAAATGAAGCTATTGATACTTTTCTACAGCAGTAACTGCACACCAGGAAGGCTGAGACAACACAAATCAGGGGATGGAGTTTTCCCAAAGCTGCAGTGTGAAAAGACTATAAACAGTTGATCCCATACACATGAATAGGCTTCCTTGCTAGAGGAAATCCAGGTGAAATAAGGAATGGAGATGTAAAAAGGTTTTCTTGAGGGACAAAGGACAGCACCCTGGATGCCTTTAGTTTTCGGCCCCCTCCGCTGCATCACATTCTTCTCCTGCACTGTCCGATGTCCATAACTACAGAGGAAGAAAAAAAGAAACACAGTAAGATATTACTTCCATCTAGATATTCTTTACGTCTCTTGAGAGAAGTCCTTGAGGATGATCATGACAATCCTTCCTCAAAACTGAACACCATCACCCCTTCAAAACACAGTCTAACAAGACATTTACAAAATCGCATACACACATATATATGTGTACTGTGGGCAGCACCACCATCTACATGTTCCTCCTTGGGTTCCTGCTTTGACTTCCCTCAAGGATAGACTATGACACAATGTGAGAACCAAATATACACCCTTCTCCTACCCAAGCTGCTTTGGTCATGAGCTTTTTTTAAAAAATTAGTTTATTTATTATGTATGTAGCATTCTGCCTGCATGTATGCCTGCACACCAGAATTAATCACAGATGGTTGTGAGCCACCATGTGGTTGCTGGGAATTGAACTCAGGACCTCTGGAAGAGCAGCCAGTGCTCTACACCTCTGAGCCACCTCTCCAGCCCATGGTCATGAGCTTTATACAGCAGCAGAGAGCAAACTGAGACAGTGTCCAACACCACACTAGTAGTTAAGTAATAGAATTGTAATTACAGAATACACAAGGGAAATGCTGAGAATCTCATATTCTCCATTCTCAGTAGTGAAATGCTTTCCTTGAAAACAATATTTAAATAGAATTTATAACCAGGTGTTGGTGGCACACATCTTTATTCCCAGAGCTCAAGAGGCAGAGAAAGGTGGATCTCCGTCCAAGTTCAAGGCCAGCCTGGTCTACAGAGTGAGTTCCAGGACAGTCAAAGTTATACAGACAAACTCTTGTCTCAAAAATAACAAAGTAATTTATGAGGCTAATAAAGCAGAAAGCATACAAGGAGAAAATCATGGTTTTGTTGTTTCCAAGTACATGAAGGACTAACAGAAAAAGCAGCAAATATACTTTACACTGACAGAAATTCAAACAGGATTAAGTGATGAAGCTAGAGCCATAGCATGCAAACATGTGTACTAACTGAATCCTAAACCTACAGTACTCTAAGATCGCTCTAATTAAGGATGGAAAGAAGTCAATACTAACTGCAATCAGTTCAGAAAATAGATTTTATCAGATCAACACCAGGAGCTACTTGCAACCTTAGAAAAATGAGGCTCTTAGATTACCTTAAATTACTATTAAGATACTATGATAAACAGAATTAAAATCCCCTGAAGAATTACTCCTTAAGGAGAGGATGGAACCAAACCAGTTAAAAGACAGCTAGTCCTGAGTCCATGGAAGGAATATACAATCAGTTCACAGAAGCAGATGTGTGTGGATCACTCCTCTGTCCCACAGGGCTGCAGGCTTTGCTGACAACTAAGAATGTCCAGTGCTTTCCTAATTTCCACATCATCTGTCCAGGAGAACTGAATGGATGGGAGCTTTATAAAACACTCTAACAATAATCCTCCCTAGTAAAAGCTGAAGCACTACAACCAGGGACTAGGAAAACTGCATTCACACTAACAGGCATCATTCCCTCTGTTCCCTTCTCTTAAGTCTAAGATATTACTCCATCAAATTTATTTGAAAATACAAAACAATTTAATGTAATTTCAAGCTTTACCTTTTTCAATTATTCTGCTATAATTTGGGTCTAAAATGTCCCCAAAGGCCCATATGGTCACTGTGGCTTGAAAGAGAGTAGTAGAATTTCTTAGAAGAGGTATCAAGCTAGAGAAAGTTGGGGTCATTGTGGGAGTGCCCTTGAAGAGGACACTATGATACAGGTCTCTTTCCTGTGGCTGCCAAGAGACACACAGGATTTCACCACACGTCCCCATTAAGCTGTTCAACACAACATGGCCAAGCTACTATGGACTGAAAACTTTAAACTCAATAAACTAAATGTTTCCTTCCTTTTTTTTTTTCAAGATTTATTATGTATACAACAGTCTGCCTCCATGTATGCCTGCATGCCAGAGGAGGGCGCCAGATCTCATTACAGATGGTTGTGAGCCACCATGTGGCTGCTGGAAATTGAACTCAGGACCTCTGGAAGAGCAACCAGTACTCTTAACCACTGAGCCATCTTCTCTCCAGCCCCCCAATGTTTCCTTCTTTTAAAGTTGTTTAATCCCAGGCACTTTGTCATTGAGGGAATAATACCTCCATCAGACTGGCTTGCAGGCATGTCTGTTTTTTTTTTTTTTTTTGGTTTTTCAAGACAGGGTTTCTCTGTAGCTTTGGAGCCTGCCATGGAACTCCCTTTGTAGACCAGGCTGGCCTCAAACTCACAGAGATCCGCCTGCCTCTGCCTCTGGAGTGCTGGGATTAAAGGTGTGCGCCACCACAATTAGGTCATATTTAACACAAGATAAAGGATGCTTGTAGGCATGTCTGTAGGCACATCTTCTTTGAGACAGGGATTCTCTGTGTAGCCTTGGCTATCCTGGAACTCATTCTGTAGACTAGGGTAGCCTCGAACTCAGAGATCTGCCTGCCTCTATATCCCAAGTGCTGGGGTTAAAGGTGTGCACCATCATCACATGACTTGGGGACATCTTGATTAATGATTGAGAGGGCCTCGCTCTGCTACGGAAACACCAACCCTGAGAATGTGCTTCTGGTTTATAAAAGAAAAGCATGCTGAGCAAGCCCTGGAGAACAAATCAGCAAACAGCTCTCCTCCATGGCCTCTGCTTCAGCTCCTGGCTCCAGATTCCTATCTTGATCTCCTGCCCTGACTGCCCTCTATGACAGACTATAAACTTTTTGGTCATGGTGTTTTATCACTGCAACAGAATGCAAACTAGAAGACCCACTATCAAATATTCAAATATATGTAACTCACAAAGCAACCTTTAAAAAAATTTAAAAACCTTTATAGGTATAGGTGTTCTGCCTGCACACCATGTGTGTTTAGTGCCCATGGAGACCAGAAGAGGGCCTTGGGTTCTTTAGAACTGGAGTTAGTCCATTGTGAACCACTATGTGTATATTGAGACTTGAACCCAGGCCCTCTGGAAGAGCAATTAATGTTCTCTCTAGCCTTACCAAGTAAACTTTGATTAGAACAAGCTGTTTCATGTGATTTTAGGAGATTGCAACACCTATAGAAACCCTATATTTGCTATACCTAATTTAGCCAGAGAAAGGAAATACTAAAAATTACACAAGCTCTCTACATTAACTGTTATCAACATGTTCAACCAAGTCAAAGAATAATAACACTGTGTTCCTACAAGCACAGCACCTTTTCCAGGAAGGTCTGATTAAAAAGAAAATACCCCGTCACCATGGAGATCTTTCTCCAAGCTTTAAAAACACTCTACTTCTTCTATAACTGACCCCCTTCCCCCAAGACAGGAAGATCAAAATAAAGTTATGCTGCTTCTGGAAACACTCACTGTTAAGTTGTCTCTAAGCAACTGCATGATGAGGGTGCTGTCTTTGTAGGAGTCTTCATTCAGTGTATCAAGCTCTGCGATGGCCTCATCAAAAGCCTGGTAAAGTTAATATTCACAGTGAGCAATTCCTTCAGTGACAGAAGCTGGTCATTCTGCAAATACAACTGTGTGCACAGTCACACTGTGGTATAGGTACACACTAAGAAGTGCTGCCTTAGAATCCTGGTTTAAGATTTTTGTGAGGGCTCCTCACTTAAAATTCTCTCCAACCGGAGGAAGTTCTTTCTTACTAAAATCTATACTTGCTCTTTTTTTAAAAAAAGAAAGAAAAAAGAATTTGTATAACCTGAAACTTGCTGTAAATACTTATAGAAACAGGTATCTTTGTTCTTTCACAAGACACACAGTAGATTAGCAACACTTGACACAATTCTTATAAGAGCTAGCATAACCCTGAGACATTTGGGGGAATACAGATTTCTAGTGCTCCAACTTGGTAGGCACTCCTTTCTAGAATGTGATGCTTCCTCCTAAAGTTACACTTCTTTGACCACTTTGCTTCCATGCTCTTCCGTCAGACATGACAGTGAGAGCATGGTGTTTAAAGGGGGAGGAAGCAGGCAAGACAGCAATGAAAAAGAAAACACATTGCAAAAGAAATAGCCTCCCTGAAGTATCTCAAATACCCTCAGCCAAAGAGGTATAGTCCCAACAGACCTTACCGTTTTAGCCAGTGTGCAGGCAAGCTCTGGATTATTAAGGATCTCATAGTAAAATACAGAAAAGTTAAGGGCCAGACCCAGGCGGATTGGATGTGTAGGCTGCATCTCTTTCTTGCTTATATCAAATGCCTCTTGGTAGGCTCCTTGGGAATTATCTATCGTTTCTGTGAGTTGAAGAAAAAAAAAATTAAGACAACAGCAAAAATATCTATCCAATATATAGCATTCTGACAACTTTAACGTATATAGCAGCTGAGTCATTCTCAGTCATCATAGCTCCAGTATATTTAAATGAAACCCATCGGGACCAGCAAGATAGTCAGTGGGTAAAGGTGCTTGCCACCAAGTTTGACAAGAGTTCGCTCCCTGGAACCCATATGGTAGATTTCCTCTGATCTCCACATGTGTGCTGTAGCATTCAGGTGCACACACCCGCGTGTACACACATTCACACTACAAAAAAAAAATCAATTAAGCAACAATGCTGTGGCCCCCAAGAGTGCAGTGTGTAAGGTGAGCCTGGTGGAACAGGCCTGTACTTGTAGCTATTTGAGAGGGTAAAACAAGAGATCACAAGTTTCACGGACTTCCTGAATGACACAGTGAGTTCAAGGCTAGCCTAGCAACTTAATGAAACCCTGTCTCAAAATTTCAAGTGAGATTAGGGACATAGCTCAGTGTGGCAGGGCACTTGCCTAGCTAGCATGTATGAAGCCCTAAGTTAAATTCCCAGCAAAATAACTACTATCAAAATTTAAAAATTAACTGGGATTTGAACAAAAATTAAGTTAAAAGACAGTAAATGAAACACAACAAATCAAAACACAAGGGAGTGAGCTGGGAAGGCAGCTCAATGGTTGAAGGGCTTCCTGACAGTCTTAAGGACCTCCATTAGATCCCCATTACCCATATAAAAAGCTGGGCAAAGTAGCATGTGCTTGTAGTTCTAGCACTAGGAGGTAGAGACAGAAGAATAACTGGAGTTTACTGGCTAGCCAGTCTTGTCAGTCAAGGAGCTCCAGTTTCAGCAAGATATTATATCTTATGAAACCCAACATATGAAAAAACCATTAAGAATAATAGAGGAAGATGTCTTCAGTGGATTTTTCATGACAATGAGACACATCTGCTCCTGGCAGCATCAATCTATTTCAAGATGAAGATGGGCATCGAAGAGGTTCTTTATGAAGCTGCTTAGCCATTTGGGCAAGAAACTGCACTTGCCTGGACTGCTTGATGATCTGGACATGAAGGACCCACAGAGAAATGACTGCTGAACTTGCCTAAACGTGAGATGATCCTTTGGAATTCCTGCTACATGAAAAGTGTCTTCTGCAGGATACTGAATAAAGTGACTGACAAACTGCCAATATTGGTAAAACTGTCTTTGAAATTTTCTGCTTCATAGAAACGTCTGCTGGATACTATGGGCCAGTAGGCTGAATATGGACGCCAGAATGGTACTAAAGAATTTTGGGTGGCTGTCCAGGCAGTGAGATGTCTCTGTCAATTGCAGGGTTTTGGAAGTTGCTTATAATGTACTTCCTGTTTACTTAGGTAATATTATATCCTTCTGGGGTCTTTGATGGAGTTGAAGAATTTATAGTTATAGTTTTTCTTAGTTATGATAAAAATAAAGTAGATATAAATACTGTAACTATAATTCTTACTTGATACCTGTTTTGTGTATGCAATTTTATTATGTTAAAGTTAAAACCTTTTGCTACAGAGTAACCCTGTCTCGAAAAACCAAACAACAACAACAACAAAAGTTAAAACCTTTTTTATTTTTTATTTAAACAGAAAAGGGGAAGTAACGTGGGATTTCCCTCTGTATGCTGTGAATATCATTAGTTAATAAAGGCACTGCTTTGGGCCTATAGCAGAGCTATAGGGGAACAGAGCTAAGCGGGAAAAACTAAACTGAATGCTGGGAGAAAGGAGGGTGAAGTCAGAGAGAAGCCATGGAGCCACATTCAGAGACAGATGTGCTGAAATCTTGCTGGTAGGCCATGACCTTGTGTTGATGCAGAGATTAACGGAGATGGGTTAAATTAATATGGAAGAGTTAGCCAATAAGAAGCTAGAGCTAATGGGCCAAGTAGTTATTTAATTAAAAAAAAAACTGGGGATATAGTTACTTTCAGCAGTAGAGCCTTTGCCTATCATATACGAAGCCCTGGGGGTTTAAAACCCAGTAAAAACAGCAACATACTCACACATAATATACAAATCCTGCTTCTATGTTCTACATAAACTTTATGAAAAATATAGAACAACTGATTTAAGTGTATATAAAGAATTATGGAGCTAAAAGTACAACAAGCAAAATTCCAAAGCATAAAGGTTAACCGCTTGCAATGTCAAAGTATAATTAGAGCTCACCCATGAGCCTAATTTTAATACTATCTTTTTTTTTGAGGCAGGGTCTCACTGTGTAGTCCAGGTTGACCTAAAGAACAATCCTCCTGGTGCATTTTCATTTTGGGGAACATAAAGCAACATTCAATTTTCTTGATTTTCTTAAGACAGCGTCTCTTAAATAGTCTTGGCTGTCCTGGAACTCACTCTGCAGACCAGGCTGGCCTTTAGTTCAGAGAGCCACCTGCCTCTGCCTCCCGAGTTCTGAGACTAAGTAAGGATGTGTGCCACCACACCCAGCATTAATTTTTTTAAATACTGTTTATGTATTCTTAGAAATGGCTAGAGAAATGACTCAGTGGCTAAGAGCACTGGTAGGTCTTCCAAAAGACCCAGGTTCAATTACCATCCCACACTGGAGCTCAACTACCTACAAACTCTAGTTCTGGGGCCTCCGAGGGCACCAGGCACTCACAGGTACAGACACACATCCAGATAAAATATGCATGCACAGAGAATCTGCAAAATGTAAGTACCGTGTTTATTCTCCACCCACCACACACTCTCCAAGTCCTCCTAGTGCTCTCCTCATCCCCACAACTTCATTTCCTCTTTCCTTGTTATTAGTAACCCCGAGTCTAATGTGGGCATGGGTGTGGGTGGATGGTGTGGGACCATCCACTGAGACAAGACCCATAATTGTTTTAGTTGCGAAGAGCCTACAAACTACATACAGACTAGTTGTCCTAAATGTCCCCACTTATCCTGTCATGGTTTGAATGTGAAATGTTCTCTAAGACACATGTGTTAAAGATAGGACTGTGAGTTTGTGTGGCTTTTAAGGACTACATCCTGAGGGTTCTGACCAAATCCATGGATCAGTCTTCTGATGGCTGGCATTACTGGAAGGTGACACAAACTATGAAGTACCCTGAAAAGCTCTAGCTCTAACCCCCTTGCTCCAAGGCTGCACTGAGGTGAGCAGCTCTATTCCATCACATCCTACTCAGGGTCCACATTAATGGCACCAGTGAACCATGGACTGAAACCATTGAAGTCAAAATAAATCTCTCCTTTAAGCTGTTTGTTCTTAGATATTTGTCATAGTGACAAGTGACTACCCAACCCCACTTCATTTTATATATTCTGCATTTATCCACAGGTCAAATATACTTACGTTTTCGATCATCGCCACATGCTACTTCAGCAAGATACCGGAAATAATCTCCCTTCATCTTCAGATAGAAGACCTTACTCTCTGGATTAGTTGCATTGGCTATTAAATACTTATCCAACAATTCCTAAAAAAAATAAATCAAGCACTAATGAAAAGCCATTCGATCACAAACAAGAATATATTCCTGACTATTATTGTAATCTAGACCTCAAGCATGTTCTTACAACTGGGTCAAGTTGTTGTACTAGCTTCCCTGGCAGGCCTTGTCCACAGTTTATAGCAAAAAAACATAGATACGCCAAATACTGTCATTAGCAAAAGCTTGTCTTTTAAGTAAGCCATTTGCCCAATATTTACTGATACCCACTTATGTGCCATCTACTCGACTAAATACATAAACAAGTCTGAAATAAAATTCATGCTGCCTTCACAAAGTGCTCAGTCAAAAGATGTATGAAGAGATAGCCTCTAGTTAAGAAAGGTGGCAGGTAGGGAGACATGGGAACAGGCAGAGAGATGGAGGAAAAAAGCAGGTAGGGGAGGGTCAACAAAAACTGACATAAACAACTGATACTTAATAAGCTAATTTTTTCTTTAAAAAAAAAAAGTTTAAAGAGGCACCTTGTATGAACGGATAAAACTGCTCTCAGAAACCATGTTACTACATAAAAATGCCAGAACCACAACCAGGATACCTCCCTACAAGCTGTTGGTAAGGTAAACAAACCCCTGTAGCTTCCAAAAATACAAACAATTGCTACTGGAATTGGTTGCCATTAGAACTAGAGTAAGAACCTAGTGTTGGATAACAATACATGCGCTAGTCGCAGGATGTACTTGTTAGTATTTTTGTCAATTGGGAAGAGAGAGCCTCAATTGAGAAAATGCCTCTAACAGACTGGACTGTGGGCAAGTCTGTGGGGGCAATTTTCTTGGTTAATGACAGCTCAGTAGGGCACTTATGTAGAGTAAGCCAATAAACATAGTGTTCATCCATGGTCTCTGCTTCACTTCCTGCTTCAGCTTCCTGCCCTGCTTTCTCAGTAATGGAGTGTGACCCTTTTCTCCCCTCGAATGGTTTTGATCAGTGTTTTATCAAAGCAACAGAACCAAACTAGCACACAGGACTAGAGCAATCAAACGGGAACAAGGCACGAACTGTCTTCCCTGCTTTCCAGTCCTCACAGTGCTAGAAGGACTATGAAGGCTGCTGGCGGAGAACTGTCACCCAACAGCATTATTTAGCTTTACTTCCTGCCCGCTATACCACGGAACAGCAGGACAAGAAGTTCCCACCGGAGCTACAGTGCCAAGTCTGCTATGGGGGTAACCAACAGAACCAGTATTCGAAACACCTTCTGTTTAGGATGGAGTCCAGCTCCACAGAAGGGGAGTCATATCATCTGGTGCCATAAACCTGGCCCATATCTTGTACCTGGGGAAGTCATGGGTCCTAGTGGGAAGGCTACAATTGTTTTGTTAAAAGGACATGATGTGCCTGTCAAACTGTCTTCTAAATAATTACTTTTATCTCCATACAGTATCGCTATCATCCTTGATAGAGAATCAAAACTGGTCAAAGTGCTGAGAATAAGTGAGTTAAATGTTCATCTCTAAACAGGTTATCTACACATCACTCACTCCAAGGCTCAGGGAACATGACAGAGGAGAGAAGACAGTAACCACAGAGGATAGGGTGAAGTATTTAAGACACTGTCTTTCAGGCATACAACTGTATTTGGCCCATCAGTATCTTGTGATAAGGAAGAGAGTCATGAGGCCTCATCCTTTTCTAAGGATTTATAAGCAAATTAACAGTAACTGGAGGAGGGGCTCATAAAGCTCCCCGTTCTCTCTAAGGATCTGTAAGTAGTTAATGGCTACTAGGGGAAAGATACTTTCTTCAGTGGTGTAGCTACCAGTAATGTACCTAAGCTCTTGTAAGAAACCCTAGTGAAGTTTACTGGGTCATCAAAGAAGACATAAATGCTCTCGGGGGCGGGTGGGGGGGGGGGGATATACCTTAAGAGATGGCTCAGTGGTTAAAAGCATGCATACTGCTCTTGCATAGGACCAGAGTTCAGTTCCCAGCACACAAGCAGTTTAGAACTGTCTGTAACTCTAGCTCCAGGGAGACCCAATGCTTCTGAACTTGAGGGACACTTTTACTCACGTGCGTATAACAATACACAGACAAATAGACACAGTAAGAATCCCCCCAACTTAAAAGAAAGGGAAGCGTGGGTGAAAAATGCACTAAGACAAAACAATTAAAAAAAAAAAAAGAGGTAACACAAAATGCTTAAGACATCAAATATGATGAAGAACAATACAGACAGCACTGTGGCTCAGAATGACACATTCAGGATCCTCTGCAGACAAGTGTCTGCCCAAAGAAAGAGAAGTACAGGGTCTGCAGACTAGACTTAGACATGTATATAGCAATTTGAAAGCAACTTTTATGTCAACTGGATGTAAACTATTAGCTTAGTTGTGGGGGGGGAGGGTGGCAAACTGACGCATATGCTATGTAGACAGGAGCTCATCTACTAGACCAACCCTCCACTGCTAAGTCTATTTTAAAACATGGCTGCATTGTTTATTTACTTACTGATCTATCATTTATTTTGAGACAGTGTTTCCCTATGTACTCTAGCCCTGTTCTAGTGCCCAAGGGATCATAGGTATTATGTCACCATACCTGACTTGGCTATGTCTTTTATATCCCTGGTTTCATATAATGGCATCTTCACTAAAACCAATGACCTTTAAGTGTTGGTGCTGACTAAAAATAGTCAAAGTTGAACAATAGCTCATCTCTTCAGACTACCCATCTTACTTGATAGTAAGTAATTTAAAAAATAATTCTCATAAAAATATGTTAACACGTAGCAGATTTTCTCTGGGAATAAAATCAATCAAAAGAAGTCAAAGCCTAGAATAGCATCATGCTAAGAGCTCAGAAAACTGACCAGTTCATCTGCCTCAGTTCAGTTAGAGAAGTTGAGCAAAGACCAGAAGTTCAAGTTTGCATTCTCAAAAAATTTTTTTAAAAACCCCATATACTATCTATTAACAAGCTATAAAGTGTTAATTATGATGCAAATTGGAAAGTCTGGAAAAATGCCCCCAACAAAATGCAACTACCACATGAGACAGCTTAATGGAAATAAGCAGGAGGAAAAGCATTTAAAAATCTTGAAAAACTAACAAACAAAAACCCTTAATATGGGACTGTAGAGATGGCCCAATGGTTGAGAGCACTGTTGCTCTTGCAGAGAACTGGGTTCAATTCCTAGCACCCAGATGGCGGTTCATAACCTTCCAATCTAGAGGATCTGATTGATGCCCTTTTCCCACCTCTGTGGTACCAGCCACGCATATGGCACACATATATACGTGCAGGCAACCCCCCCTCCCACATATTAAGTATACAGTGTTGTCTGCAGGCCAGAAGAGGGCACCAGATCTCATTACAGATGGTTGTGAGCCACCATGTGGTTGCTGGGAATTGAACTCAGGACTTAAGAGCAGCCAGTGATCTTAACCTCTGAGCCATCTCTCTAACTCCAGAAAATAAATCTTTAAAAAACAAACAAACAACTAGACAGGCATGGTGGTATTATGGTGCACATCTTCAATCCCAGCACTTGGGAAGCAGAGGCAGGCATAGCTCTGTGAGTGTGACTACAGAGCAAGTTCCAGGACAGCCAAGGCTACACAGAGAAACCCTGTCTCGAAAACAAAACCAAGTTTTCCTATTACTAATAGTAACTATTTTGAGAGTCACACTACGTAGCTAATTCTGGTATTGAGCACAGAGTCCTTCTGTCTAAGCCTCCAGGGTTAAGGATTATAGGCATGAGCCACCACAACTACTTCCATGCATTATTTTTATTTTAACTCATATAGTAAAGTCTTCAACCAGCAAACTGCAAGATCCTGGGAGGTTTGGAGGACTCCCACTGGGGCTCCCTGTCGCACTAGCAGTGTTACTTGACTGAGGGTATAGAAAGCAAATGAGAGAGCTGTAAGATGTCATTGCACTACTCACAACTACAAGATGGTAAGTGAGAACACCCTACACCAATGGTTCTCAACCTTCCTAATGCTGTGACTCTTTTATACAGTTCCTCCTGCTGTGGTGACCCCCAACCATAAAATTATGTCATTGCTACTTCATAACTAATTCTGCTACTGTTATGAGTCATTATAAATTATCTGATATGAAGAACATCTGATATTCGACCCTCCTGGGGGGTTGAGACCCCATAGGTTGAGAACCACTGCTTTAGATCAAAGAAATAAGAGCTTAAGGAAAGGGTGTAAGTAATTTACTCTCAGAAAAACACAATACTACAAAAATTATAAACTAAGAAATAAGTCTGTCAAGAAACAGCACCGGTGCAAACACAAATCAGTAATGTTTTTTCTTATTCCTTCTAGAAGAAAAAACCCCACTACTAACCCACATTGGTAGCCCCCCTTCCGCATATCACAATTTTGCCATCACTTAAACAGTTTTACAAAACAATCCACTTGCCTTCAGTGGTAATGTTCCATAGCACTCATCAAAATAAACTTTATCCTCACTTCCTTCAGAAGTCAGATATACTGCTCTTTAACTACAGAACATATACTTCATACAGAATACAGAGCAGGAACCTGAAGAGGAACCTTGAAAAATAAGGAAAATTTAAACAAGGAAATGTTCACACATTTTCCAGTTTTCTGCCACGTCACTAAAATCCACTAATAAATACACCAGTAACAAGTTCAATCTTTAAGATACACTAGAGAATATCTTATTTCTCATTTAATAAAAACAAGAATATCTAAGAGGCATAAGACAAAACAAGTGAGAGGTTTACTTTTAAATAATCATACGGGGGGCTGGAGAGATGACTCAGTGGTTAAGAGCATTGCCTGCTCTTCCAAAGGTCCTGAGTTCAATTCCCAGCAACCACATGGTGGCTCACAACTATCTGTAATGAGGTCTGGTGCCCTCTTCTGGCCTGCAAGCATACATGTAGACAGAATATTGTATACAAAATAAATATTAATAATAATAATAATCATATAGACAGAATAACCATATTATTGTGGAAATATGAGCTTGAGCTT